GTAAAGGTCGCTTAATATGTAATGAGAATTCAAAATTCGTCAATGCTGAATAATAGTTTTTTAAATTATGAAAAACATTCACAACGTTTTGATAAAATAGATTCATTAATTATTTGAGCTAAATTTTTATCCGATATGGGTGAATATTCAAAAAGTGAGTGTTATTATAAAATAGCTATTGAATCAATTATGAATGTTGACGATGAAACATTAGGTATAATATATAATAACATTGGAGCTCCATATTTGTATCGAAATGATCCGGATACTGCATTTGAATACTACATGTTAGCGTTGAATCTGAAACAGAAAAAATTAATTCCTCTTGATGAACAATTAGCAGCGTCTATTTATCATAACCAATCAATTGAAGCATCTTATCAAAACGTTGTGAATGTTTTTCATAATTTAAAAAACTATTATTCAGCATTGACGAATTTTGAATTCTCATTACATATTAAGCGACCTTTACCAGATCCGTAATAATTTAACCATTGCTACAACTTTAAATAATATTGGTATGGTCTACAATGATATGAAAGAGCATTTAAAAGCATCACACTATTGTCATGAAGCACTTGATATTTACGAAAAAAAGCTACCTAAAAATTATGCTGAAAAAGCAATTTTATATAAAAATATGGGAGATGTATATTACTATCAAAAAGATAATCAACAAGCAAATGAATATTATCATAAATCACTGGAAATGGGCATTACCACATTACCCGACAAACATTCATCATTTGTTAGAATATATCGAGCTCTCGTCAAACTTTATTTAGATACATATAATCTGGATGACGCACTTAAATTGTTTTTTGACTGCAATTGATATTTCAAAATTATTTTTTGACACATTTTATCTAGATATATCTGATATGTATAATTCAGTTGGCTTTATTGATTCGTATAAAAATGATTTATCAAAAGCACTAGACTATTATCATTTAGCTCTTGAAATGAATACAAAACGATTTCCGATTGATGATCTAGAGGATGTAAATATTTATAACAATATTGCCATGATTTATTTTAAGCAATGTAATTATTTCGAAGCTATCAGACTTCATCACAAATGTCTTGATATACAATTGAATGCTACCACATTACTACGAGATCGTGAAATAATGGTGGGCAGTTATTGGAATTTAGCACTTGCCTACTCCAAAAGCGAACAAAATTCCGAAGCATTAGATTATTTTCAAGTAGCATTAGCTATTGAAGAAAATATTTTTTCCTTCAGATCATCCATTAGTCAAGAAACTTCATCAAATGATAAATATTATAAAAACTGTTTGTGATAAAACGTCGATGATGCAATCCACGATCTTGTTTTTTTCTACTGACCAGAGTTATTCTTCGCAGAAAAGCGTTATCTACTAATTACACAGTCTTTCATGATTCATATTAATTATTTTTTCTCTCCCAAATCATCATATATTCAAGAAATGCAACAGAACGTTGGAGATGTATAAAAAATGAACATCCTAACTAATTAATTACTATAGTTAGATAAAATTTATTATGAGATCTCTGTAGAAGATGCAAGTTTCTCTAATAGATAAAGGTCTGTGTGACCAAAAGAGAATGAGTCTCATCATTGCTCATAATATACTGGGAAGATCTCGCAGTCACTCGTATTTTGATCAATGCTAATAAAACTCGTCATGTTCATTTTTCACGGATCGTCTTTTGGGAAGTGTGTGGGTTGTAGGTGTGGAAAAAGTGAAGACTAGAACCCACGCTCACATCCACACCCTGATAAATGCATGTTTTTTGCGTATCTGCTTAAATATTCGTTTCTTATTTAAAGTTTCATGTTTTTCCAGGATTAAAAGCGCCAGTTTGCTTCCTAAGGACGAGTAATTCTTTTACTTTCTTTTTAGTTTCCTCCGCTTTCTTTTCAGAACGTAAAAAGGCAGTAAAAGTGTTACCCCCGCTCTTTTCCCGTCCACGCTTGGATCTGCACCCATACCCACATAACAGTTTCTTCTAAAAAATAATAACCAACTATTCTAGTTCATTCTTCCATCCTCACCTTCACCGATTTGCATTGATCTGATGCTACTAAATCGATCTTATACGTCTCTATCGTACTTTCTTTTGATTGTGTAAGAGTGTTTGTCATACTGGAGGCGTTTGGATCAGTTAAAATGAAACATACGCACACCGCAAAAGGAGAAAAAAAAATTGTATTTCTAGTGAGTTTTTTTAAGCATCATATTTTTTCTTTTTCGCTCCTTCACAATAACGCATTGCAAAAAGTGTACCTAGATAACATTTTTATTATTATAAATCACAAAAAAATACATTTTCAATAATAGTTAAACATTTTTACATACACAACGTGCTCTCGTTATGGCCACATCGATAACAACAGCAGAATTAGAACCAAACATAAGTCTTCAATGTCCATTAACAGGTCAAATGTTTTGTGATCCTGTTATAGCAGAGGATGGGCATACATATGAACGAGAGGCCATTATTAATTGGTTACAGAAACATAATGGAACAAGTCCTATTACACAACAACTATTAAACATTAATAAATTACAATCAAATCTAACTATAAAACAATTAATCGAACAATTCGAAGCTATCTTGCGAAATAAAAAATATCAATTTACTCTTGATGTTGATGTGAAAAAATCACAACGTTTGTTTCAAGCATTTGGAAAGACAGTACACATGGCTGAATGGATTAAACATAATAAAAATAATCTCCCCAAAGTTATTGTTATGACAATTACTGGTGTTCGGGCAGAAAAAGAAGCATCATTTTATGTTGAATTAAGTAAACATCCTCACATTGTAAGAACATACGGTTTGGTTGATAATCCAGAAAATAAAACTTCAGTAATGCTCTTACAAGAGTACGCAGCTAAAGGTGATCTTCTAGAATTTCTAGATAACTTCAGACGTGTACCAGACGAATCAGTTTTAATTGAAATATTTATTCAAATATCAGATGCAATGAATTTTCTTGCATATAACCGAATAGTCCATGGAGATTTGGCTTGTCGTAATATTCTTGTCTTTCGTTTTGATGAAAGAGAACCCGAAAATACACTTGTTAAAGTAACAGATTTTGGACTTAGTCGAGGAAGCTCAATTTATATAACTAAGTCATCAGCAACTACAACAATACTAAATATTATTCCCTATCGATATGCTGCACCAGAGATTTTACAAAACTTAACATCAAACGAATATTATAGTGAAAAATCTGATATGTATTCCATGGGTGTTTTGATGTGGGAAGCTTACTCTAAAGGTATCATGCCTTGGTCTGAAATCGATAATGATGATGACGTATTGAAGAAAGTAATCGGAGGTGAACGATTACAAAAGCCATTAGCATGTAGCGAACAAATATGGAATATTATTCAAGCAACAATGGCACAGGAACCCAATAGAAGACCGACATTTAAAAAATTAAATCGAATGTTAAGTGAATGTCAAATTCGTCGAACCACAACAAATACAATTTCATCTACTTTATCTTCATCATTATCTAATAATTCTAATGATGTTAACAAGCTACTTGAACAAATTTATGAAGTAAATGAATATAATGATGATATACCAAAATTATTTATTATTTTACACAATTATTGTTACGAATGGAATTCAGAAAATATTTGGTTAAACAAATTTTCTCTTTATTTTATTTGTCAATGTCAATCGGACAATTTACATCTACTTTCTGAATCATATACCATAGATAATCCAAAATTATTTTTGAAAAAGTATGGTAGTTATTTAACTATAATGATTAAAATAGTGAAAAATATTGCAAAGTTTCGAATAAATTCAAAAGATTTACATTTTCAAGATGAAGAAAAATTCTGGAATCATTTTTCATTTGGATTAGATAAAGTTAATGAATTATTAGAAAAGATACTATATAATAAGCAATTGGAAGCTTTAAATGAAATTCATCAACATTTATATGAATGGTCGATAAGAAAACCAAATTTAAATCGTATTATTAGTTCAAATGGTAAAGTGCAATGGGTTTGTAATGCACATCATCCTCTCGATCTTCAACAACATATTAAGGAATTCGAAAATTTACATATAAAAATTGATAAACATAATGGTCGAATAATTCTGGATGGTCAATATTCTTCAATTAGCATTGAAGAGTTTTGTATAATTCTTCAAAAACATATTTACTTTTATGAATTGTCGTTTTATTATACTTTTGTTGACAAATCAAATATTGATGATTTAATCAATTCGATGCAAATGTCAGTTTTTCGAAATTTGCAAGTGAAATTTGACACTAATTATTGGATGGGAGGAACCAGTTCTCGAATTCAAATTGGTAAATGTAGAGGTAGCTTCGACATAATTACTAAAATGATAGAATGCCAAAAATATTTGAAAAAGTTTGAAATAATCTATTGTGAATTAGAAAAGAATAGCATGGAATTATTAAAAAATGCGATAAGTGTTAATAGAACATTATCCACGTTTAGTATAAAACTTATTGCAGTAGTCAAACCACCAAGAGAAGATCAGGAATGGTTTGGTCCGCGAGATTTAAGTTACAAAATAATATCACATACGGATATTAAAGAAATAGCTATAGGATTAAATTTAAATCAAAATTTATCTCATTTAATATTAACTAACGATGGAATCAATGATACAGGTGCTTATGAAATTGGTGAATTATTAAAAACTAATAAAACATTGATCTCTCTTGACCTTAGTGGAAATGAAATTAAAACTAAAGGTATGAAATCAATTACAGATGCATTAATTAAAAATCCAATTTTGAAAAAAATTTTTATTTCAAATAATCAATTAGATGAAGAAAGTGGAGAGACAATTGCTGATTTATTACGAAACAATAAATCAATAACAAATATTAATATTAGTCAGAATCTTCTTTTAGATAAAGCAGCAAAAGAAATTGCTAATGCACTTCAAAGCAATCAAACATTATTAGAACTTGATATTAGTCATAATAAGATTGAAAGTATCGGCGGATATGCATTTGCTCAAGCTTTAAGAACAAATAGAACTTTGAAGTATTTGAACATATCTAAAAATGAAATATTTAAAGAAGGGTCAAGATATTTTTGGGAATGTTTAGAAGGCAATTCAACATTAATTACCCTCAATGTGTCAGACTGTAGAATGACAGATAAAGATACGTACAGACCGTGGAGTAACATATACAGAAATGAAGGCTTAAAAACATTAAGTATTAGTTGTGGAGAAATATCTCAGAAAAATATTGAAGGAATTAAATATTTTTTATCTGACGACACTTCATTAGTTCGAATTGACATGGAAGCCTATTGTTCTGATATTACAGCTGAACAAGCGACAACCATAGCAAATACATTGGAAATAAATAAAAAACTAGCATATTTTCAGTTGCCTAGTGCAAGTTCTAAGTCAAATCCTGCTATACATATTATATTTGATGGACTTACGAATAATCAAAGTATAACTCACCTTGAACTACGTGGCAGTTACTTCTCTACTACACCAAAGCAATTTGGGGAAGTAATTGCAAAAATGCTGCATAAGAATAAATACCTTAAGTATCTTAATATTAGCCAAAATCGTATATCTGAGGATGGCCTCAAGTGTATTAGTGAAGCGCTTATACAAAATAACAATCTGACTGATCTGGATATTGGAGGAATCGGTGAAAGCAAAAGAGAAGATAAAACAATATTTTATGTAGCTGAAATCTTAAAGGCTAATTCAACACTATTAAGTTTAAATATTACCGGTATCACCTTGACGAATGACGGAGTTAGGGAACTGGAACAGGCGTTGACAACAAACAAAAGTTTAATACATTTAAAGGGTAAAAACACATCGTATACTTTCTATGGAGGTTCTGAAACAGGCCTGAAACAAATTACCTACAATAAAAACATTTATTTTGATTAAAAAACTGCATGCATGTTCAGTCAACAATGATTATTCCAGAACGATCATAAAATTGTTTGTTTGTACTATTTATCACATTATACTAGATGGATATTTCTCCAGGGCTTCTACCATGTAATAAAAAAAACTTATTACCTATCAACGTGAAAATTTCAGTGTTTGTGGATGTGGGTGAAGAGAAGATCAACGGTTACATTAACACCCAAGTAATCTTAAGTTGGCTTTAGTAAGCTAGCAAGGTCTCGAACGAAAAACAGTCATCTGACCTTTTCTTTTGTGACTTTTCCTTTGCCTTAAATCATGTTAAATCAAAATAAATTCTAACATGAGAATGATTGAGAAAGCGAGTTCACCATATGTTTAGTAAACGTCAAGAACATTCATAGAAATAAAGTTATAAAACAGCTCTAGGTTCAATGTGTAGGTAATCAAGTATTCGGTAAATACTTGGGCATCATGATACGTACCGAAAATGCCGTTACCATCAGGTGTTGAATCAAATCCAAAAGGTTGAGTTGTCATTGAACTATTTCCTAAAGTTCTGCTTCCCACCAGAACACGGGACCCGAACACAAATCGTTCCCTTTATCATTTGGAATAGCATAGCCATGACTGTAAGTTGTGTTCGAAGAAAAATAAATGTCAAAGCCATATGCTTTGCCTAAGAGTGGAATAACTGCAACGATAATTGGGAACAGACACTACTTAAAAGTTCACCATTTACTTCAGCGAAACTTATATTGAAACAATCTTCGATAATCGAATTTGCAGCATGTTCAGGATATCCGTGATATAAACGCTTTTTAGTGTCTATCTAAAGTCATTTTCTGAAATCTCAACTATGTGCTAGATATTGCATGTACCATCGTTCATTTTGAATTCGTTCTATCTGTATGATTTTCATATATTTTCCTTTCATTATCTCATCGAAGTTGACCACAATCGATTTATATGCATCGATATCGGTAGGTACGCCGGATCCTACTTTATTTTCTGTTAATCGCACCCATGTTGATGGTAATTCATGACTAATTGACATCGACATCTCTGTTAAAAGAGAAGCAAATTTTTTTCAGCTGTCTCTTTTTCCCAGGGTCGTTATCAAAACGATATCTGCGCAGCAACAGATCTAGATTTTTAGATATGAAAAAATTGTTGATTCGTAGTCAAAGAGTTATCGTAGCGTCAAAAGCTCAACTTAAATTCTTTTATTGTTTCTCTAAAATATAAGCTCATTTTCTACTTTGTTTTAAGATGATTGTCATAATTGAGACGCTAAAAGCGTTACAAAAAGCTGTTCAGAGTGTATGAATTAGATTATGATAAAGAGAATATTAGGGTGTGGGTGGGCGTGGGGTGCGTTAGAGTGGGGGGGGGGGGGGGTGGGGCTCTGCTTATCATCTGCTCCTGTTTTAGTTGTGAGGTGTGCATATATTTTTAATCGACTTTTACATCTCTCATGTTAATCGTTTTCCAGCTAATCAATCCGACACCAATGTAGCGTTACAGCTTATAATCTCTGCTTTATATATATATTTATTCAAATAAATGAATGATCAGTGCTATTTATTAACGAACACGTATGAGAATAATAGTTCTTATCATTCTGCTTTGGCTTCAAGAATCAGTTTTCGTCATCTGACTATCCCGCTGACATTTTCATCAAAGTAATAGTAAGCATTACCAGCATGCTTCCATTCCCCAGTAGCTTCAACTGGTGGCAATCCTGGCCCTGGGTCTTTTGATACCATACCATCGCCACAGACACCGATTGAATGCACAGGTAGTCGGCTCCACATATTGACCACATTCAGGACACTTTGACGCATCCGCATTAGCTCCTGCCAGGACATCGAACCGTGTCAAACCGATATTAATGATGACGCTTTGGTTGAAAGCGCGACAACTTGATTTAGTACATTTTCCTTCAAGACAAATTCCTGGAAAAACCCTTCTCCAGCTGGGAGCATTGTGATTCCAGTCTACATGTTTGAGTCCCTTATCATTACTTACATCAACAAAATCCATACCCAAATCGTTACCACTCATATTATGTACTGCTATTCCATTAGCAAAGAACGTGTGTGGATAATCAGTGTGAAGATTGTAGACTTCGATTTCTGGTGCAGTGACAAACTCATGACGATTTATTATAGCCGGTTTCAGCGTATTTTTCGGATCTGATGTGTATACGTACAAGCGATTATCAGAAAGAAGACACTCGAGAGTTTTAAATTCGCCCTCACCGGCATAGCATAGGTGATCACGTGTGGCTTGTAGTGTGGTGTTTTCTTCTCCCACATCCAAATCAACATAGGAATTGACCCGACGGATAAAGACTTCTTTAACAGTGGCGGAAACAATATCACCGGAGTTAGTAAACGCTAATACTTTGTCGCCAGGATAAATAGTACTAATATGTTGTTGTTTATGATCAGCCCGCAGCACCAGTGTGTCAGGAAGAAAGCACCCTCCCTTCAGGGATACTAAAAAGAATATTGTAGCACCATCGACGATCAGATGCTTTTGTTCATTGAAGTGTCTCTCATCATCTAAATTAAGGCATTTGCCTGAAACAGTAAAACGGCAGCAAGTAAAGTCTCCGATGTTCAAGAACAGTTGCTGTAAAAATTCTTGCAAGCCAAACGTTTGCGGTAGCTGAACTGATATTTTCCTTCCACGGTTATTCTGTAACGTAATATTAATAATATTCATTTTCAACCCTTGCTGTCTAATGCAAAACAAATGTGTGAAAGGATGCAAGAAGTTCGATCTCTTTTAAATGTGCGTCTCCACTTAAGCGATTCTCTTTCTCGTTAGAAAGCAGTGCGCGCATACTTCGACTGGAAGTCACAATTTCCAACAGTAAATAATGACACTATTTGTATATGATATCCTATTATTGCACAATATATATGTCATAGTCATTTTTCTTCGCATCTCCTTAATTTCTTTCTGCTGAAACCAAAATTTTCAACGTGCATGATGTCAGCTTTTTCTTTCCTTCTCTTTCAACCTATGTGAAACTAGCACAATGACCAGTCATATTGTAGATGCAACTAAACAATAAAGCAACAGCGTACAATGCCAATCACGGCCCACACAATACCAAAGCTTTCCTCAGTTACACAAAGATGGACAACTAAAAAGCTTTATTATTACATTTTAATTGTAAAAAATCCAAAATCTAAAGACACGACCCTTCAGCAAAAAACACAAATTTATATGTAAAAACAAAATGCAGCGTCCATTGAAGACCTCTGTCTATCAAGCCCCGTCCGGTGGTTCAAAATGACTGTGTGAGATGCAGAATTTCATTCGCTATCGTACGGTATCTGATTCTTTTACCAGGCATAC